ATATATATATAATGAATGTTATATGGTGCATATATTTAGCAAAATGCTCCTCTCTAGAGTTTATTTTCTGGCTGACTATCGAGTTTATGGTCACCAAATATGCTTTCTGAGGTAAATGTGAGGTTATGTGACATTGTTTACAAGCCATTATATTGAGGTCTTTGCACGGCTGAAACACTGATTGAGCGATTACATGAGACAGGATACAGATTGTAAAGTTGTACTCTTTCTTTTAACTTACCTTCGGATGTTTAGTCATGATTATTTTGTGCTGAAGCTGGTATTAATGTGGAGGAGATGATCAGTTCACGTGAGCCTCGCGCTGCCACGTCTGGCCTACAGCGATCTGTCACTCCACATTAAACAGTGCCAAAACGGCATTTATTGTTTAAATACTGCAATACATTGGACATAAATTGAAATCTGAGACTTTGTTTCATATTTAAAGTACCAACGAACAATCCTTGTTGTGATTTATTGGATGGGAAGTGCGCTTCAATGTTCCATCCATTAACAGAAAACAGGCTAGACTAATCGATTCTTGGGATTTACGAATCGATATAGTTTCTTAAAAATGAGAATCGATTAAAATCGAGATAGCGATTTTTTTTTACCCAGCCCTACTAAGTATATCTTTAATTGTACTTCAGCACTATTAAACTGCATTAAGTACGAAATTAGTTGTTCCAATTTAGCAGACTTTTAAGTATACCAGTTTACTATACTAAAAGTACAATTGCAGGGTATTTTATTAATAGATAAATATTAAAATGTAATTGTAGTATACTTAACATGAAATAAATGTATTTCAAATACATTTAAGTATATTTATTTTCCACTATGGCAATTCAGGAATAAATTACATTTTAAAATATATTCAAACAGAAAACGGTTGTTCTGAATTGTAAAAATATGTCATAATATTGCATTTTTACTGTACTTTTAATTCAATAAATACAGCCATGGTAACTATGAAAGATTTATTTAAAAACATTAAAAATATCTTACTAATGGTAGTGTATGTGATTGTTGGGAATTATTTGGAAGCTGAGTCTCCCTCCCTTTGCTAACAGCTTCCACTCTTCTGGGAAAGTTTTGCAGTAGCCATTTTCTCTCATTCGGACACAAGAGCATCACTAAGGACAAGTAATGATGATGAGTCAGGGGTCTGGCTCTTAGTCTGTGTTCCAATTCATCTCAAAGGGGTTCAATAGGAGTTGAGCTTGGTGCAGGTCAGTCAAGTTCTTCCACACTAGACTCGGTAAAACATTTCTTAATAGACTTTTCTTTGTACACTGTGGCATTGTGATGTTGGAACAGAAAATGGCTTCCCGAAACTATTGCAAGAAAGAAGCACACAATACACTATAATGTCATGTGTGCCATAGCATTAAGGTTTGTTTTCACTGGATTTAAGGGGTCTAGCAAAAGCCTTTAATTAGAAGGGGGCTATAATTTCATGTCTCTATAAAACAAATGCTATGACATATTCACATGGCTGCCTAGATACTATTAACATTTCAAAGTGCACCATCTTGAGATGCCAGCACACTCCTTTAATCCTGACAGGAATCAAGCTTTCTGACAAAAAATAAATAAATTAGTAGACCACTATAAACAAATTCAAAGATGGAAAGACATCAAGACATTAGCTCCAAACCCTAATGAGCTGCCTTGCCACCTCCTGCCTGCATAGGAAGCTGCTTTTATGGCAGAATCCTAACTGAAATGGACACACATTGCCGTCTTAGAATTTGGGTAAAAAAAGAAGGCATCATAGAAACAGAGCTATTGAGACTGAAAACTCATCTGCTTGGTATTCTGCAGTGGGCATAAAGATAAAACATGGAACAACACTGACAGCAGTACATATGGAGGATATGACCAGACCAGTGATGCAAAGATGTGGCCCAAGAGGCTAAGAGCCTGCCTAAAGCCCAGGGCAGGAGAGGTGAATGTAGGGAATTTCTCCTAGAACCAGGGCCGTTAAAATTATTAGAGAAATAATGCACTCCCGAAGTGGTTATGTGGCCACGTCGCCGCGCCTATTAATGGAATGAAATGCAATTTCCTTATTGCGATAGAAAACACTGTAACAAACGGTTTCCACTGATTAAGAAATATTTTTGTTTGCTTGGGTGGCAATATTAGGCCTGTTATATTAATAGGGAAGGGGGGCTCAAAAATTAGTTTTGCCTATATGTCATGAAAAGAGGTAAATCCGGCCCTGCCTAGAACGCTTCCTCCCTGAAGCCAACAACTCATACTGCTACATTAATATTTACAGTCTGGACTATATACAGAGATATTCATTTGACACATTAATTACCTTTGAAAGCTCCAGGACCCATTTTTTCTAACGTTACAAGTAAGCTAGTGTGTGTACATTACTGTTCAAAGGTTTGTGGTTGATAAAATTTTTAAATGTTTTTGAAAGTCTCACCAAGGATGCGTTTTTTGATCAAAAATACAGTCCAAACAGTAATATGGTGAAATATTATTGCAATTTAAAATATCTGTTTTCTATTTTAATATGTTTCGTGTAATTTATTGCTGAAAATTCTCAGCAGCCATTAATCCAGTCTTCAGTGTCACATGAGCCTTCAGAAATCATTCTGATACACTGATTTGGTGCTCAAAATTAAATAAATGAATGAATGAATAAATAAATCTTATTATTTCTACTACTATTAAAAAGTTGTTCTGCTTATTTATTTATTTGTATAGATTGAACACATTAATTTGAAATATCTTTAAAAGTAATATTATTTTAAATCTTACTGACTTCTGAACTGTATACATACACTCTTAAAAATAAAGGTGCTTCACGATGCCATAGAAGAA